GCCAGAGCTAAGAGCTGAGCTGCCTGCTCACCTGGCTCCTTCTACATTTAAACTGCAGAGCTGCGGCTGGTGTAATGAGCGCCCTCCTTGACTAATTGAGTACTGATTACTTGATTAGCTAATTAACCACGACTTAATCCCTAAATCATGCACCCTAGCCCCCTCATTTTTGCTGCTCTCCACTGAACTCTCTTCAATTTGTCGTCATAGTTTCTGTAATAGGGAGGCCCAAAACTGGATGCATGGCCTCACCAGTGTCAAATAAAGGGGAGTAACTTCCCTAGATCTGCTGGCAATGCTCCTCCTAATGCACCCCAATATGCTGTTAGACTTCTTGGCTCCAAGGGCATGCTGTCTTGTATCCAGCTTCTTATCCACTGTAATCCCCAGGTGCTTTTCTGCCAAACTGCTGCTTAGCCAGTCGGTCCCCAGCCTTTAACTGTGCTTGGGATCCTTCCATCCCAAGTGTGGGACTGCACTTGTCCTTGTTGAATCTCGTCAGATTTCTTTTGGCTCAGTCCTCTAATTTATCTCGGTCACTCTGGTACAGCTAGGGTGCAGACAAACCTCCAGGTGTCCTTCAGTTGAAGGCAAGTTACCTTCAGACTTAATCTTGTGAAAGGAGGAGCTCGGCAGTTCTGGTGGAAAAATCTGGGGAAAGGACTTGGGTAAAAAAACTTTTTGGAGATGGGGAAGTTTTTCTGAGTTAATATTGGGCATTAAGCTAAGGTGACGGGATGGATCCTTGAGGATTCCCTGTTCTGTTCATTCCTTCTGGGGCACCTGGCATTGGCTTCACTGTGAGAAGTCCGGATACTGGGCAAGATTGGCCGTTGGTCTGACCCCGTGTGGCCGTTCTTACGGGCCCTAGAAAGCATGTTGTGAGCTGGGTTTATACTTAGCCGTGTGTTTCCAATACTCGTGTCCAATACTTTCAGTCTTTGACTCTGCTCGCTGGCCAATGGGCTCTTGTTTGCACTGTGCTGTGCGGTCAGTGAGCAGTGATGTGCTATTCCCTGGGCATGCAGGCGCTGGGAGGGTCGGCGGAGGGCTGGATGTGTCCGAGGGCCACTCCGAGGCCTGGGGGTTGGAGTGAGCCTTTCACTGATGTGCCCAGAGTTAGCAAGGCCTGGGGAGGCCGGAGCTAGTGCTGCCGGAGGCTGAGGGAGTTGCCTCTGACGGGTAGCACGCAAACAAAGGTATCCTGGGGCCCCGGGCCAGAGAAAATGGGACCCCTCCCATCCCTTCCACCTGTAAGTCCTGCCCCTACTCCGCCCCCTTTGCCTGCAGCCGCACCCATGGCCCCAACTTTGCCCCTTGACCAGGGTCCTGTCCTACCCAGGGGCCTCCCCATCCTACTCCGCTCTGCTGCCCCACAACCTGCTTGCCACTTCCTCCCCTCCTCCCATGGCCCCCAGACTGGAGTGGTTCTGTCCCCTTGCCAGGGCTTCCCCCTGCCACCTCTGCATTTCTGGGGGAGACCCAGGTCTGTGCTGTGGCTTTTCCTGCCCCAACCGGCCTCTCTGCTGGACAGGGGTCGGAGTGCTGGGGCTTCTGCTGGGGACAGAGTCATGGGGCTCTCCGGGCTTCCCCTGCTGCCCCCAGTTTCTGCCAGGGTTGGGGGTACTGGGGGCTTCCTTGTTTTTTCCAGGGCACAGGCCCTGTTGACCAAGTGGCTAATTTGCCCCCAGAGGCAGCCACAAGGAGTCTCACAGCCCTAGGCAGCCCCCGGAAGTGTCATGAATACATTTTAAAAATAAACTCCAGAGGAAAGTGGAAACGAATATCTCTTAACAGCTCGTCTTCTCTGGTTAACCCTCTGCACATTGCTCGTACAGGATCTTTCCCCAGTCCGTGCACCTGCCACTGGATGAAAGAGCCAGCCAGGCCTGCTTAGAACATGTGCATATGATGAGTTTGCAAGTAGCATGTTGATCCCAGGGAGGAGATGCGCTGAGCTAGGCCCAGGGAAAGGTCTGGCATTCACAGTATCACCAGGCCTTGCAATGCCTCTGCAACCCGCCAGCCTGTGGTTTTGATTCCAATTGCCATTTCCTTCCTGGCAAAACTGCCTGCTTGTCAGACATGTGCCGGAGCGGAGAGGGACACAGCTGCAGAACCGGGGATTCCCCAGCGTGCTGTTTGCCTGGTGAATACAGCAAATGTCATTTCTCAGCTAGGCCTCCCATGCCAGGCCTGTGTTTCTGTATGAACATCAAGATTGCCTAATGGGTTATTTCCTCCTTCTCAGGCGCAGGTTGCGCAAGGCGCTTTCAGGCCAGAGCGCAGACCTGCAAGGCGTTGAACTCAGGTGGTGAAATCTGTTGTGCATCTTGGCAGCAACTGCGCTGGGGGCTGACGTTGTGTTGGTCAGAATTCAAGGGAATAAACAGTGGCAAGAGTGGGAATCATTTCCGAGGCTGCTGTGACCTTGGGGCCTCCTGGCAGAGAGCACAGAGGGTGCAGGGGGTTTCAAGGATCCGCTGGGTCAGACACATGCATAGCAAGTCCCCACGAGTGAGGTCCCTCCTGAAAGCTGATAGCTCGCTGGTCGTGCTCCCGGTGAGATAACTGAGAGAACACCCTTCTGGTTAGTATTTATACTGAAATGTGTGTGTTTCGGGTACGTAAGGTAAAACAGGTCACTAGATGGTGACAAACTGGTGATAGTTAGGTAGGGGATCCGCGGTGCTTGTCTCCCTGGGGAGTCATTGCATATTGTGTGTCTTACAACTTAAGTCTGTTTACAGACACAGCTACCAGCTAATCAAGATTTCAAAGTCGACAAGTGTGACAGCGCATTGGGGGTCCCCCGTCTCCTGCACCCCCGAAATGGCACAAACAGACCCCACCAGCCAGTAGAATAGAGGTGGTTTATTGCTTCTCCAGTATACAGCACAGCACAGATGTCATCAGGTTACAGGGCAGGCCTAGGATGCCTCCGCCCCCCCTTGATATGGGGCAGGGGTCTCGGCTTCTAAACCCCCCAGCCTGTTGCTGAGGCTGCGTCCTCCATGCTCCCAGACAGAAACTAACTCACTCTCCTCCAGCCCTGCCCCCCAGCCAGGGCAGCATCCCCCTTCCTTTGTTCCTCTCCATGGGGGGTAGCTGGTCAGACAGGTTGAGAGACCCTCTTTGCATAATGTCTCACTCCCTGTCTTGCTGGGCCGTGGTACCGACAGCAGCCAGTGGGGTTACCACAGACCCATAGAAACCAGCAAGTTCCCCCCCACCACGTCACAACAAGAAATCACAAAATCTACAGGCAGGAACATGCCACAGAGAGTGTCTTGTGTGTGACTAAGATCAAGTAATTAGTCTGGTATATCCGGAGATGCAAGGAGGTGCGAGCTGACAGTGTGGCTTATTTCATTGGAACAGGATTCCCTCCTACCCGGCTGAGCAATGCTGAGCAGTATCAGAAGACTTGGCAGTACCTAGCTAAGCAAGTCTGCATGTTGTAATTTTATTGTACTTGTCACGGTTTGTTTCGAA